TGAGGGTTTGCAGAGCTGGCTGCGGGTTGGGATGGCTGTGGGAGCTGCAGTATTCCCTGACACTGCAGCTGGGCAGGAGGGCCATCACCTGGGAGTGGTGGGGGCAACGAGGCTGGATGTTTAGCCCTGGGGTCCTGTCACTGCAGGGTGTGGGTGCTGGAGCAGGGCCGGGTGCTGGAGCAGGGCCGGGTGCTGGAGCAGGGCCAGGTGCTGGAGCTGGAATAGACATGGAGGCAGCCAGACCGGAATGCTCAGTCCCCTCATTGGGTCATGGAGTTGGGGACCAACCGTGTGCTCAGTGCAGCCTCCGAAAGGATCTTTCCCAGGAGCTCCCTGATCACATTTATCAGGAGTTTGAGGGTGCTTAAGCACAAGCCTGTCACTCTGCAGAGGCCACCTGGCCCCAGCAGTGTTGAACGCTGCACGTGGCCCTTTTTCCTCCTCCCATGCCTGTGGCATCCACACGTGGCTCAGGGGGACAGGGATGAGCCAGCATCTCTCCAGGCACCCCGTCACCTCTGGTCTTCCCACCGAGGGCCTTCCTTTTCCCAGGTGCCTCAGTTTCCCTTCTGCATTTGCCATCAAGGCTGGCAGACAGCGATTTCTGAGCTGCTCACTGGCATTAGGGGGTTGTGTGGGGGGGTCCAGCAGAAGGCTGTGTGCCCGTGGCTGTTTTCTACCTGTGTCCCTGCCAAAATGGAGCAGGTTTTTCTCATTAGGGATGCACTGTGGTAGCAGCCTCTTGCCTGTCCTCCCTGGCAGGGGAGGGGAAACAGGGAGCCATTTATTCTCCGGATACATTGCGAGATATACTGGCCCTGCCTCATGCTGACCCTTAATTTATTGGAAGTGCTCAAAGACAGGGTGTCAGAGGAGGGAGTTATTCAGGCACTGGTGCTGCCCCAGCGCAGCTCGGGGAGCCCCCAGCTCTGCTGTTCTCCCCTCACTTTGTGGGTGCTCAGCGCCAGGTCGCTTTGTTGGGATGAGATGAGCAGGAGAGACTTGGGCACCCTTGGCTGAGCGGCCCCAGGTCGGGAGCAAAGCTCCCTCCTCGCTGACATTGCTGTCCTGTGCTGGGCCATGAAGGGCATCACTGCGGGAGATAGCAGCGCTATCTCCCGGCGCAGGGCAGTGTTATCTCCTGGCACAGGGCAGGCAGCAGCTCCGAGTGTGACCTCCTCACATCGACCCCTCCCACACGGTCACCTCTCCCAGAGGACCTGCGTCCCCAAACTCAGCTCCTCCAAGTCCCCGCCGGGCCGATTCCACCTGAACACAGCCTGGTTGCCTGCACAATTCCTTGAGAAAATCAGTGCTGGGAGGATGCAAGAGTGGGGGGCAGCCCTGATGGCTCCAAAAAGCGTCCCCTCCAGAGGTACAGGGAAAGGTGTGATGATAAATCGCATTGACACATTCAGCCGGCTCTAACTAATGACTTCCCTGGCACCCGACACATTTTCCCAGCGTGCTGGCTGTTCCTAATATTGTTGTAACATTTAACATCCCTCTTTAAAAAAAAATAAAATAAATAAAATTAAACTGTGCAGTTGGCAGATTGCTGGAGACACTTGGATTCTCTGCGGGGAACCGCTCCGCGGTGGGAGTTGGGTTGCTGCAGTTTCGTGGCAGGAGTTGTTGCCTCTCGTGTCAGCTCATTAGCTGGGGCAGTCCGTGGCGTCACTGCCTTTGGGGCCACGGGGAGCCAGGGGCCGTTCATTCCCAAAACTAATGTTATGAGCCTGTTTTGTTTCCAACGTGTTAACACTATTAGTGCTGCACAAGACGCGTGGCACGAGCAGCAGGGGATGGTCCCGGTCCTGCCCGACACCCAGCATGGGCTTGTCCACACTGGAGCTGGGCTGGGAATGGGATTAATGGGCAGTGATTATTAGGGGAAGTTTGGGGTTTGTTCCTGTGAGGTAAAACTGTGATGGCCAGGGGCGTGAAACTCCTGGGAAGGAGGCAGGGAGGTGGATGTAACTCCCTGTAACACCCCCACCAGCCCCCTGGGGCAGCGCTGGTTGTGGGGAGATGCCAGGGTGATGCTGGAGGATGCACTCCTGACCCAAGGAGATATAAGGAGACTGTGGGGACATGGTTGCCAGCTGGTCCCCCATCGGAGCCTGCCCAGCCACGAGTTTCCAAGTGTTTGCATGAGCCCTCTCCCAGCCCGAGCCTCCCGCAGTGGCAGCGTGGAGCTCCAGCCTTCAGATTTAAACCAAACCAGAAATTCGGCTTCCAGCGAACTCGAGAAAGTGTATTTCCAAACAAAACTGTGCTAAATAAAGTACGAGCCGCAGGCGGCCTCCTGCTCCAGCAGATCCACTTTGCTGCCTTTATTTAGCTGCCGTCTCCCCATGGTGCCCCTGCTGGCCTGGGACGGGGCGGGGAGGGGGGTTGGTCCTCCCAGGAGCTCCGGTGCTTCGGGAAGGACTCGGTCCCGTGGCCTTGGGGAATGATGGGGAAATGGGCTTTGTCACAAGAGCTGCCCTGTACCCAAAACAATGTCTGACCCTTAGGTCTGTCCTGGCATTGTCCTGCAGCAGAGGGGTCCCTGAAACCCTCTGTGACATAGGAGGAGGGGCAGGAAAGGGAAGGAGGGAAGGAAGGAAGGAAGGAAGGAGGGAAGGAAGGAAGGAAGGAAGGAGGGAAGGAAGGAAGGAAGGAAGGAAGGAAGGAAGGAGTGGAGAAGAAAGAAAGGAAGAGAAAAGAAGGAAGAAAGGAAGGGACAGAGAAAGCAAGAATGGAGGGAAGTAAGGAGGGATGGGGAAAAGGGTGCAGGCAGGGGGGAGCAGTGGTGGTGACTGGGGAGCACGAGGGTCCCTGGGAACCTCACCCCAGGTAAAGGCAGGGCTGCTGCCTCCTCAGTCACCCGGGCATGTCTCTCCTTCCAGCACAGTTAATCCAGACCCCAGCTAATCCTCTCGCAGGTCACTGGGAGCTCACTACATTTTGTTGACTTCTCAAATACATCTAGAATTAATTAAAAAAACCCAACTCTAAATTCATCCTGTGGCAAAAGCACTCAGCGTATTCAATGGGGCAAGCTGGAGGGGTGATGGAGGAGCAGCCTTTTCTGGTCCCACATGCTCAGCTCTCATTAAAAAAAAAGAGGATAGAAATTATTGAATGTAGTCAGGATGATCGGGAGGAAGACTTGGGATGGGAGACCAGGTTGGAGTTGGGCAGCGTGAACCTGCAGCTGGGCTGACAGGTCAGGTCTGCAAGGCCACTTTGATCCCATATGACTTCTAGTGACTATAGGGTTGTAAATATTGATCATTAACATTAACTGTTTGTGCCTTTTTTATTATTTCCCGTGTCTCTAAGGAGGGAAAGGCTCTCATGCTGACGGTCCCAGCCATGTGCAAGCAATCCTTTGGTCTGCTGAGGCACCAACAAACAACTGTGGCATTTGAAAAATCAACTTTGTGGATAAAAAATGGTTGTGCCCAGATTGGAGCAGGCAGAAATGTGCTGCTTGGTGTAAGGTGGTGGCACACATGGATTTGTGCCCAGCACCTGGGAGGTTTGGGTAGTGCTCCTGCTTGCAGTGTTGAGCTTCTGGAGGGATTCCTGTTTCCCGAGCTGAATTTGGGGAGCATTTCAGCAAAAGGCAGTCCAGGGTATCACTGTGAGCTGGGCTGATGCAGCCCCAGGCAGGCTGTGCCTGGCAATGCTCCCTGGTGCTGGTCACTGTGTAATGGAAAGGGTGTGCTTGTCCCAACGTGTCCCCAGGCGCTGGAGCTGATTGCAGGAATCGACTGCATCGAGCGGGCCAGCGGATCCGGCACAGCATGTACAGCCCGGCGGGTTCACCTCTGCCCCCAGGCAGGAGCTGCTGCCTCTGTGCTGCGAGGACGGGGTGTCCTGGGGGGCTCTGCACCTGATCCCTCACCACGTTGTTGCCCTGTGAAGGTCTCAGTGCCAGCAAGGTGGTTCCATCCCCAGTGACACATCCCATGGCGCTAAATAAGAGGTGACCTGTGGCAGGAGACGGTTTGAGGAGTGTTCCTGCAGTGCCGTCTCTTTGGGGTGCTTGGGATATGCCACAGGGCTTCTCCACAATCCTGTCCATTCTCTGATGCAGTCCTATGAGGGGCTGGGGGGGTCCAGCAGCCTGGCAGGGTTCCGCTGGGTTCCCCCGCCACGGGCTCACCTGCACTGAGGAGTTCACCCAGCTTGGGCCACTTCCCCCGTGTCCATGTCACCTCTCTCCCAAGCAAAGCTGAGTGTAGGTCCTTGACCCTGCAGCTGAGCCCTCCAGAAGGGACCAAAACAGCTCCCCCTTCCCCAGTGGCAGCTGTTCCTTCATAAGGCTTGGCCAGCAAAACCCATCCGTGACCGTAGATGGCTCCATGTCCCAGTGGATACGTTGGGAAAGTTGCTCCTCAGGACATCTGCCCCGAGCGAGTGCCTTCCCGGGGCCTTCTCCAACCAGCTGCACATTGGCTGTGTCCTCTCCCATCCTTGGGCAGGAGGACAGAGGTTAAATCCACATCTCCCTGTGCTTTCCCTTGACCCCAGAAGAGCCGGTGCTGGGAGGTCGGACGCTGGGCTGGGCATTGATCCATCTGGCAGGGGCAATGTGAACCGAAGGAGCTGCTTCCGGATGTACCTTTATTGATATCGGTGTCCTGAGGAGAACAGCTCTGCCTCCCTGCTTGCCTCTCCAGCTGCAGAGTTCATGAGAAAAAGGAGCTGGAGAAATTCCAATGCTACCCAAGGTTTTTCATCCACTGGAGTCGTTGAGGGTTCCACAAATGCTGCATCACCCCAGCAAGGTTTCCTCACTCAGTTTGTACTATGAAAGAACCAAATCTAAGACATTCTTCCTTCCTCCTCTGTGTTTTTTGGGAGCAGCCTGTCCATAGAAGGAAGAGTTAGGGCAGTGGAGGGGTTGTCACTCAACACGCACCCCATCAGGCCCACAGCCAAACAGCCCCTTGGGTCCCATTGCCATGAGAGGTAACGGCCGTGTCTTTGTTTTCTCATTGCAGAGCCTCTCACGGGATCAGCGTGGTGACGTGGCAGCCAAGACGAGGAATTTTGGGACTTCCCTTCCACCGCAACAGAATCTGGGGGGTGGGCAGGGGTGGGTCAGGGGGACACTGGGAATCGCAGGACCCTTCACCTTCACTGTGGGCTTGGCTCAGGGATGACCACAGGCAGAGTCAACCCTTACAGCATCGTGTCCTCCGAGGAAGACGGGCTGAGGTTGACCACCATGCCAGGTATCAACGGCTTTGGCAACGGGAAAATCCACACCAGGAGGAAATGCAGAAACAGGTTTGTAAAGAAGAACGGTCAGTGCAACGTGGAGTTCACCAACATGGATGACAAACCACAGAGGTACATTGCAGACATGTTCACCACATGCGTTGACATCCGCTGGAGGTATATGCTCTTGCTCTTTTCCCTGGCGTTTCTGGTGTCCTGGTTATTGTTTGGGCTGATTTTCTGGTTAATTGCACTCATTCATGGAGACCTAGAAAACCCGGGTGGAGACGATACCTTCAAGCCTTGCGTTCTGCAGGTCAATGGCTTTGTGGCTGCTTTTCTGTTCTCCATTGAGACCCAAACGACTATTGGTTACGGCTTCCGCTGCGTGACGGAGGAGTGTCCGCTCGCGGTCTTCATGGTGGTGGTTCAGTCCATCGTGGGGTGTATAATTGACTCTTTCATGATTGGTGCAATAATGGCAAAAATGGCCAGGCCCAAAAAAAGGGCCCAGACATTACTTTTCAGCCATAATGCAGTAGTGGCAATGAGAGATGGAAAACTCTGCCTGATGTGGAGAGTTGGGAACCTCCGTAAAAGCCACATAGTAGAAGCCCACGTACGAGCTCAGCTAATTAAGCCCAGGATCACAGAGGAAGGGGAATACATACCCCTCGACCAAATAGACATCGACGTGGGGTTTGATAAAGGCTTGGACCGTATTTTCTTGGTGTCCCCCATCACCATTCTCCATGAGATCAATGAAGACAGCCCCTTGTTCGGGATCAGCCGCCAGGACTTGGAGACAGATGACTTTGAGATCGTCGTCATCCTGGAAGGCATGGTAGAAGCCACAGCCATGACGACGCAAGCTCGGAGCTCCTACCTGGCCAGTGAGATCCTCTGGGGCCACCGCTTCGAGCCCGTCTTGTTTGAGGAGAAAAACCAGTACAAAGTAGACTATTCCCACTTCCACAAAACCTATGAGGTCCCGTCCACGCCACGTTGCAGCGCCAAGGACTTGGTGGAGAACAAATTCCTGCTGCCCAGCACCAACTCCTTCTGCTACGAGAACGAGCTGGCCTTCATGAGCCGCGACGAGGAAGAGGAAGACGATGACAGCCGGGGTTTGGAGGACATCAGCCCGGACAACAGGCACGAGTTCGACAGGCTGCAAGCCACAATAGCGTTGGATCAACGGTCGTACAGGAGGGAGTCGGAAATATGACTCTTGGTCCTTCCGCTGACTTTTCCAAGGGTATTTTTTTTCCTTCCTCTAATCTCTTCCCCTAAAACCCGCTCAAAATTATGCAGAACAATGCAAGTGCCATAGGAATGCTTGAGAAATTAGTCTCGTTCATAGTTTTCAGTTTCATCGCAATAACCACTGAGCGGTCTGCAGGAGGGGACGGTGGCAGCCCACGGCGCGTGTCCCGCGCCCGGCGCCCGCGGTGGGGCCGGCGGCTGCGGGGGGGATGGACAGACAGACGGACGGACGGATGGACGGACGGATGAAGAGAGGAGGGTCCGTGGGGCACGGGCAGGCGCTGGCCCCGCACGGCCCCGCGGGGCTTTGCTCCCCCCACGGGGAAAACGCCAGCCTTGTCTTGGAGCCGAGCACTGCGAGATCCAAAAAAGAGGAAATATCAGGAAACAAATCTTACTCTCTCTCTCTCTTTCTAGTTGGTTTTTTTTCCTTTTATTTTTTAACTGAGCAGCGACAACAAAAAAAATTGCTCCTTCGGCAGGCGGTCTGGTTCAGTTGCACAAGAACAACACTTGAAATAACATGCAACGTTAATGTACTTCTTTTTAATTTGGGGAAAAAATGGGGGAGGGAGGTGAGAGGGTTTTTAATTTTTTCACCGTACCGTTTGGGAGACTGTTTACCAAAATAATAATAATAATTATTATTATAATTATAACAATAATAATAATAATATTAAATCTGAAAGAAGTCATTCAGTATTTTTTAAAAATGAACAAGGGAATGAAGAAGCCACTGGGGTCCTTTGAGGGGGTGACTTGTTGGGCAGATGCAAGAGATAGAAGTCAAGACTGCTCCCAATTTTTGGGTGCTTATTTTCCACTGGCATGGCTTCATAGGCAGAAAACAGATGTAAGTGACTGGAGGTCCGTGGCAGAGAAAGCAAGTAGAGGAATTACTGGCAAAGGAGGTAATAAGGATAAGAAGGACTGTGATAGAATAAAGCATTGTAAACACAGTAATTAGCCAATATCTGGAAATACTGATTTTCAGGGTGGAAATGGGGTCTGGAACATCAGCTGCTGAGTGTTGGGTCTCCCCCAAAATCTCTGATGGGGAATTTATAAATTCCATCATGACTAGGACAAAGTTATGAGAAGCACAAAAAAGAGAGTGGAAAGCTGTCAAAATTGGGTATTATTTTCTCACCTTTCCAACCAATTTGGTATTTTTCTTCCTCGAAGAATATTTTTAAACGTGGAAACCAATGTGAAAGTCATGTTGTAGGGTTGCACTTGTAACACACGAGCTGCCTCTGTGCCAGGCTGGGATTTATGAATTCCTTATTCACCAGAGGGTCCTGCTTCAGAGGCAGATGTTTTTCCCAAAACAAGAGATGCCAGTCGAGAAAATCACCCCGTCTTGAGCTTCAACCCACCCCTGTGTCCCAGCCTCAAGGTGGATTGTGCCTTAGAGATGCGAACTCATCCCGCACCCCAGCCCTCCTCACAGCACCCCATTTGCATCCCCCCACTGGGGCACATTTCCTTTGCTCTGCAGCACCCACACCCCCTCATCCTCCGTGTTTTAGGCTGGTCTTGGTGACAAGCTGGCTTAGCTTTTGCTCCAGCACAGGGCAAACCAGCCCACGCATGGGAAGCCTTCACTCCTGCCCTGCTCCCCACTGTTGCACAGAGGGATGGAGTCGGGAAGATGCAGGTTGCGGGTCCCTTCATCCATCCGTGCTGCTCATTGGTGCTCTGGGAGCCAAAATCTGGCTCCCTGCTCCCTGTGGCCATGGGAAAAGCTTTGTAGCCGTGGGCATCCTGCATCTGACTCTGGGCATGGAGCCCTGGCAGCACCCATCCTTGAGAAGGGCTTGAGAGCAGGTTCCCCTGCAGTGTTTGGACTGTGATGGCCTCCTGGTGCTTTCCTCCCCCCAGCCCACGTCAGTGAAGCCATGTCCTGGAGCCATAACTTGCTGTGGTGTGTCCAAACACGGGTGGCAGAGGCAGGATTTGTCCTGTGCCCCCATCCCCATCTCCTTCTTGCCAAGGGCTCTAGAGATCAACTGCTCCAGGGTGTCCCCCTGCCCCGTGCCACCGAGCACTGTGTTGGGCACCGGGACTTCATCCCTGTGGAGGTTCTTCCCACCAGTGTCCATCACCGTCACCCCACGCTGCCAACCAAGGGGCTGCATCATTTTTGGCTGCCCCTAAAAACCAGGAGAAAACATCCCCAGGGGCAGCGCCGGGAGGCAGCTTTTTCGGCACTGAGTGCCCCAGCTGGGTTGTCCCCAAAAGTGGGGACACGTAGGGATGTGCCACTGAGCTCCAGCCATGGCATTTATGTTTCTGAGGCAGAGAAGGTGGATGCCATCCCATCACCAGTCCCTTTGCTCCCAGGGGGGAGGGTTTTACCCCCTGCTTTTTGCACCATAGCATCTGGGGGGTTGGGAAGGATGGAGGGGGGGCAGAGAGGTTTTGTGTGAGCACTACTTATTTATTTTTTTAAAAAGATGCTTTTAAGTGGTTTTAGGTTCTTTTGAATAAATAATAATTATTACAAAAAATAAAAAAGGTGCACATCTTGCTGCTGTAGAGTTCTCAGAGGGTTAATTTCTTTATATATATATATATATCACAGTAAATATTTGTATAAAAACAGAAGAGAAATAGAGATGTCTTTAAGTAAATTATTGCTTTTAAAGAAACTTCTATGATTGTACAGTGTTACCTGGGAGAATAGAATAATATATACAGATGTATTTTTAAACTGCTGTGTAGGAGGACGTGAACTGGGACGGGGAGTGCCCGAGGCTGAAAGGGTGAGGGGGTTTTGGACCCTCCCCAGACCCTGTTCACTCACTCCCTGCCCCAAACCCTGCTAGTGAGGGTCTAGCTCTGGTGAGACGTCGTAAATATACTGTATAGTCCTTGTCCTGGCCATGGACCACGCCGGTACATAGTGTATTAATATTATTTTTGCCTACCTGTGAGTGCTCTGAGCTACTGGTCTTTTTTCCTACCATCAGGGAGCATCAGGAAGGCTGCCCTGCCATAGTTTTAATTGCATAAATTGTCAAAGAGAGTGGTAAAAAAAGAAAAACAAGGTGAAGGAAGCCAGAGAGTGGTGTCTGTTTGGCACTTCCCTTCTCTGGAGGGGCTGGGAAGGCACAGGGCTGCTCTCGGTGTGGGGTTTTGGTGTTGGTCACAGCACGGATGAGCAGCATCCCTGTGGGAAGGGGTTTGGAGCTGAGCGAGGGGAAATGTCCCCCCCAAAACAGCCGCCGGCCATTTCCTTCAGCGAACCGGCTCCATCCTTGGAGTTAACTCCGGCATTACACTTGATCCTTGGAGGATGGCAGGAGTCCGAGAAAGGAGAGAGCTGCTAAACCTCTTGGGCAGCCTCCTGTAGGGATTGCCCTCAGCCGGGGCTCGGGGCAGCTCTGGCAGCAGCAGCCACCCTGGTTGGGGAGCAGGGGCTGGACCCGCTGCTGCTCCCACTTGGCTTCACCCCACAGAGATGCACCAGTGAGAGCAGGAAGCCACAGCCCTGCACCCCAAATCCACCTCTGGAAAGAGCATCCTGTGCCCTGCCAGGCGCAGGGTCCCCACTGGGCTGGGCAAGGGGTGCCCTGGGCTGGGGGCTGTCGGGACGAGCCTTAGCTTCTCACAACCCAGTTTAGTGCACTTAGTCTTTTCGGGCTGGGACAATCACTTAGCGCTCAACCTTTCGCGATTCGGTGCCTGCTTGACCTTCAAACCTTTTGTAGGAGATGATTTCAGAGCCACCTTTTCTATCTTTAATAAGGCAGAACAAATACGTTTATTTTTAAACCCTCCTGCTCTTTCCTTTCCTCTCGTGCTGACAACCAAAAGAATCCCCCGTGTGTGTTCCCCCCTCTCATTTCTTGCACACTGCAATGAGTGTGTGACAGCTGAGTGTGGCATTCTGGCCCCATCCTGCTCTCACCCCCCCCCAGCTCAGGAATGCTGCCATGGGGGGTTGGCACAGGGCAGGATCCGGATGCGTTATGAGCAGGGATGGGATGTGAGACGGTGCCCAACCCGATGCCACCCATCACCTTGTCCGCCAGCTGTGCACATCTGTCCTGCTGCCCACTCCCAGGGTGCCCATCTTTCCTCCATCCCCTCCCAAACACACCCCAGTGCTCCCCCAGGTTTGGTCCCATGTGGTTTGGGGGCCAGGACCCGGAATTAGTTCACAAGGGCAGGTTGGCAACTGGGAGCACTGGTTTCCCAGGGGTAAAACACTGAGTCTGTTCACTGGGGCGATGGTGGTTGAGAAGCCGAGGGATGCAATGAAGTATCTGTACCTTTTCCACCTCTGGTGTTTCTCTGTCTCATTGCACATATATTTGAGATATATGTGACAATGTATATATATATTTGTAAAATGTATTTCAGATGACAAAACTGGCTAATTTTATGTTATTTTAAATATATTATATATATTATATATAAGAGTCTCCAAAAGATATAAATAGACTAGAGAAAATAATATAAATATGTAATAAATGTATTTTGATCTATTTAAAATATCTCGCGTCGTGCTGTATATTTTAAAGATCACAGGGAAGTGTCTGCCTGTAGCCAACTTCCAGTGTGGTTCTAAGTCTGTCAGTTGTCACACATACAGGATGTATGTGGAGTAAACTTTGAGCAAGACTGGGGCCAGCAGGACAAACAGAGATTTTTTTTTTTAAGAGCTTTTTAGCAAATATCCATCCTGCTGCCTCTAGGTCGGAGCAGAAACCACGCACCTGCATTTTCCTTGTTATCCTGCAGGAAGGATGATTTTCCTCCCCGCATGGGAAGGGGCTGCAGGGATGCTCGGCAGCACGGGGGGCTCTGCAGGGTCCCCCCTTCCCGCATGGCCTCATCTGTGAGTACCACTTGCTCCACTGCACTTCCTGATGGGATTTATCCAGGGACAAGATCAGCTCAGCCATGCAGGGAGCCCGGAGATGGGAAAACGACCAGGCAGAACAAGCCCAGTCACCTGAGACTGACCCAACAAATCTTCCCGGAGCGACCTTGGTCCCCCTTGGGCTCCAGGAGGATTTGTTTCCTACGGGTATTGCCTCCTGCAGGGACCTCAGGGGACATCACACCGTGTCCAAGTGACAGTTTAAATGTTTTTAATGGTACGTCACGGCTGAAGGAGAGCGGAGAGAGTGTGTGGGATGCTATTTACGGAGAGGTTAATGGCCTGGTGGACACAGAGACCCTGTATTTGCCATCCTGGATTTTCCTCCTGGCTTTTACACCTGGCTGCCGCAGGGAACAGGGCTCATGCACTGAAATAACCCGGAGAAATTCTTAATCATCATTCCTCAGGCTGGTCATGGGTCTGAATCCGGGTTGAGTGACTGGTGGCTGATAGTTCCCACCCACAACTGATGGTCACTTGGGTCCCATTGGCTCCATCCCTTTCCCCATAAATAAGTTTTTTACCCATTAAAAAAAAAATCCCTGCCAGCCACTCACTTTAATCACCACAGAGAGGGCCAGGGCTAAGCAAGACTTAAGAACAAAGCCCATTTAATTTAGCAAAGGGGGATGCTGAGAGGTGACTTGATTACAGCATTTGTCATGGGTAGGATACACTTGTACAAAGAGGTAACTTAATCTACCAGGGAAAGGCATAATAACCACCTCTTCCTGGAAGCAGAAGCCAGACAAATCTATCTTTGAAATCAGGAGAGATCTTTTAATAATGATTAGCTATTAGAACAAGCCACCAATCTCTGTCTCTTAATGCCTTGAAATCTGGACCAGATGCTTTTCTGGAAGCTTTTCTCCTGCTGACGAGAGGGGCGGTGGCTCCTGAGGAAGGTAAGGGCCTGTTACGGGCAGGCAGGAGGTGAGATGGGAAAAACTCTACTCCAAAACACGGGGCTGGATCTCAGAAAGGAAAATGCCAGGGAGGACGTGGAGGATGCTCTGGCAGGGCCCTGCCAACATCTCTCCTGGGGACACGCACCGGCCCGTGCAGCAGCTTCCCACGGCTCCCGTGCCTCCGCTCCCAGGGATCGCTTTGCCACGCGGCTCTGACTCCTCGTGCAGCAGTTTGCACTACAAACCCCACCGCTTCATTTGTGGAAGCATTTAATGATTCAGGAGCCGGCAGCTCCCCGGGGATGGTTCCCACTGCCTCCAGAATTCCTCCCTCAGTGGCTGCTTGTAGCAGAAATCCCCAGGGAGCTGAGCTGGCGCTGGAACCACGGGAAATGTGCTACCAGGGTGTTCAGTCCTGGCTTTATTTCCAATCCAACCATCCTCACCTTTCGGGGTTAGAGCTGAACTGAGAGGTGGGAGCAGCAGGGATGGGAAGGCAGTGGGTGGCTCAGCAGGGAAGGACCTCCCTTACACCTCACAGGCACAGCTGAGGTGTTTTCGGCAGGGATTGTAGCCAATGGGATGAGGTTGGGGCTGTTTCTTAGCTGGCAACCTCCACAACATGTCTGTAAATGCTAAAACCCTCACTTAACTCAGCATTGCACCAGCCCTCACTGACTGTCCTCCTGCCTCTTTCCCTTCAGCCTCAGGGGATCAGAGCATCTCTCTGTGCCCTTGCAGAGGATTTTGGCCTCCCCAAAAGCAGGGTGGCTTTTCATCGGCTTGGATGAGTTTGACTCAAACCCACTGAAATCTGGGGGGGCCAGTCCCTTACCAAGAGGTAGAGAGCAGGCAGAGGGGCTGGGAGCTCTAAGTTCCCACCAGATCCCCTCATTTCAGAAGGATGAAGGCAGGAACTTTGCCCTGGTCACACTGGAGATGCTGCTCTTCCACCCAGCCTGGAGTCATCCTCTCTCCTGGCTACTCCAAGAACCTCAGACCCCAGAAGACCCTTCAAATTTGATCTCTTGCCCACCTGAGTTGCCCCAGTGCCATCTGGGGTGGCCGGGAGCATCTCGGGTACTGCAGGGCGAGACCCAGGGATGCTCCGGGTACCACAGGGCGATACCCAGGGATGCTGGGTTGTCTCTGGGGGTAACCATAGTAACGGAGCAGCATCTCTGCTCTCCTGCTGGCAATTTGCTTTTTCATCCTGCATTAAGGTGGACCCTCTCCAGCTCCTTTCTCCCCCTCCGCCTGGCTGGAATGGCAATGCCAAGAGCTCTCCCACTGAGGGGCCAGCTCTTCCACCCCATCCCATGCCAGGTTTCATCCCTCTGTATAACAGGATACTGTCAGGGAACCAGCCCCCAGCACTTTGCAGGGAGTCTGAGAAGGCAGCGGCTGGAGTTTCTCCTTAACAGAGATTTATTATTGTGAGTGGGACAAAATTAGGGGTTTCCTTACACTTGTTGTTAAAAGGTCACTGTCAAGGTTAAAAACCTTAAATGCTTTATTTTCTTTTAATTGTAAAATGCCTCTATTAGCAATAACACGATGGCTTATTGATATGGATTGGATTTTTCAGCGCTGAATGTAATTATCACTCGTTAAGTACTTTGTTCACCTTTCACATTTCTCCTCACTCGGGGAAGGCAAACACATGAGTCAGCGTCCCTTTTTCTGTCATTTTTAGGCAGTTTTCGGTGACAAGC